ATTTTGTGAAGGGTCCGTTTTTAAGTTAAAATATTTTGTGAAGGGTCCGTTTTCATGAAAAGATATTTTGTGAAGGGTCCGTTAACGGACCCAAATTTCTTCTAAACAGACCCCTGCTAATAAGGCTAACTAAACTTGTATTTGCTAGAACTCCCATGTGACCTAACAAATATAACACATTCTTTAAGATAAAATTATCTTTATATATGAATTTTCGAAGCTAGTAAGTTCAAACCTAATATTGATTTTCTATAATCAAAACGAGTTTTCAATATAGCACAACATTAAAGTTTACGCCATTAGTTTAAAAAAACGGTAATAGCGTTTTCTAAGATGGCGGATATCCGCTATCTGTTATAGTAATTCTGTAAAATTTTCAAAATTCGTAATGGCAGACCCAAAATGTGCCTCAAAGAAATGACAAAAAATAGAGTAACAAAAATAGTAAAACTATTGCAACTTAAATCAAAGGTATTAAATTTGAAAACGAAACTATTACATATTAAAAACATTTTCTTTGAAAAAAATATTTAAATAATGACAAAAAAATGTTCGTTTCTATTTCGTTCTTAAAGAAGGATTACCTTTAAAAATTCAGATGTTCACCGGCAAAATAATCAAGAAACTTTTGATCAAATTTGATTCCCAGGTGTCCAAGCGTCATCCGTACAGCTGCACAAGGAGGACTGCACTCCATTTCATACAGCAGAATACCCATATTTTTGTCCACCAGCTTACTTATACAGTTTTAAATTTAATGTATAACTGAAAGAATAAAAAGCCACAGACGAAAATAAATATCTATATAATAAACTTTTATTTCAACAGTTAGTTATTGAGTTGGAAATTAAAAAGGAAGAACTAGATCCAAGTCTAAATGGCAGTTGAACTTGGATTTTAAAAAATACTACTGCTACCGTGCCTACAACAAGGTCAGTAAGAAAATATATATAAAAAAAATTGGCTTGATGCCAAGATTGTATCTGACATTTTTCAATGTTGCCTGGTGTTAATAAAAAGTATTTTTTAAAAAAAAGACAGAGGAGTTAACTGATAACTTTCTAAAATATTATCTAAATCATCAAATGGCAAAAAGAAATGTTATCATTTTTTTCTACACCTTTTTTTCCCCCTAAGACAACAAAGATGGGAACAGATTGGACGTAATGAAGATTGTGGTAGAATATGAAGAGATTTCGAGTTCTGATAGAATTTTCCGTTTCTTTTCCCTTAAATGACGATTTTAATTCATAAAAAATGAGTTAATAACTGACAAAAAATTCATCTGTAGTTTAGAGATTGCATGCGTACGTAGGGCTATGTAGGTGTTTTATTGCTAATTATTAATTATCCTGCGAAAAATGGCTCTGTAGCAGAGCTAATTTCTAGAAGATATCATCAAAGTTAAAGAGGAGAAAGAAATTTATTTCTACGTAAAAAATTTTCACTGCATTATTTAACAATGCAAACTCGAGTTTTTTTGTTTGTTTTTTCTTCCTTTAAACAACACAAAGAATAATTGCATCCCATTATTAGAGTAGTTCTTTATTCTATAGACATAATCTGTCTCTATTAAGTACTATATTTCTAGTCTTATACAATGGTTCTACTTAAAATCCTTCCACTACTTGTTTAATAACAACCTCTAATATTTCCGAATTTTCAAGTGTGAGTTAAAAAAAAAAAAAATTAGTTTCAATTGGTTTCAAAATATATTTGATTCGGTATTAGAGTTATAAGACAGCAGAAGAGAGGGAATGAGCCAAAATAAAGAACTGACATTTTTAACAGTTGAGCTAGCTCAGGGGAAAACACTTGATGTTGAGCTAACCTTAAAAACATTTTCCGTGATTTTATACTTATCTAACACAAATTCTAGTTAAACTCGTTTTTTAAATAAACTCTCCATAAAGATGAGTTTATACAAGTATTTGCTCAGGTTTTCCCTGAGTCTTATGGAATGGTTCGGAATTCCATTGTAGGAGAATAGCACATCCGCGACATCGCCAGTTCAAAGCTAGTAAATAAATAAATTATTACAAAAACTTGTGAAAAAATGTCCATTCAATTTAATAATGTATTTAAATTTTATTTAAGAAAATGTTAAAGATAAATGGTAAAAACCTCGACCTTATCGATTTGTTTTATCGCCTTCTACTTTATAAAATTTCGTCTTAACCTTTAGATTTGATTAAAACAAAAAAAAACCTGCTCTTTACATTAATGGAACCGCATTCTTAATATTTTTTCAATTACATTGTTTGTTTTGTATTAATTTTAATCGTATTATTGTATTTTACAACTGAAATTTTTTCTTATTAATTTTTTAACATGTATAAACAATTATTTCATAAAACCTGAAACAAACACCCGTTTATATACTTTGAAATTATTTTAAATGAAAATCATACCCTATCACTTGTATAAATTTATTTATAAAATTAGGTTATTAAGAATTTATAAAAATATTTAAAAATGTAAAGAGTTCCATTTTCGTTTTAAATTTTTGTTGACCCAGATTTTTTTCACTTATTTATTATTTTTTAAATTACACTGAGTAGAAAAATTATTTCAGTAAAGAAAAACATTTTATCACTGATTAAAAAAAGGAGATATAATTGTATTATCCCATGTTAATGTAAACGTTAGGATTGATTATTTCCCTGATATTTAATTCATAAATAATACAGCGGCGACGAAGTAATAGCGGACAAAGAACACAAAAAGTTAAACATAATGAATCTTACTGGAAACAGACGTCACACTGTACGAGTATGAAACAAAATCGCACTACTCATAAAAGTGTTTCAGAGTTATCAAACATTCTCGTTCTTGTTTTGTGAAAGTGCTACAAATGCGCATGCGCTAACCATTAGAGGACAGGGAGCTGGGGATTCATATGATTTTCTCATCGGAGCAGGGGAAGCATGACTTCAATGAAAATTTTTGTTTGCTCTTTTTTTCTTCTTTCTACCACTGTGTTTTTTTTCTTTTTTTCTTTTTCCGAAAACAAAACTTGCAGTAAATAATGTAAATTTTGGTATTACCATTTTCCCTCTCCCCATATTCAACTTTGTTTTTAATATTTATTCTAATATTGTAAATTTATTATTTTTAAATGTTATTATATTACTCTAAAAGCTGTTAATGCCTATGCAACGAGGAATTGATTTTTTTAAAACATTTCATTCATTCAAACATTCCCTTTTAATTATTGTTCGAATTCGATTGACGGAATCGAATGATCTGTTAAAGCTTCAGCACCCCTTATGCGCCCTTATTTGCATTTAAACTCTCACAAAAAAAAAAAAAAAAAAAAAAAAAAAATTNAAAAAAAAAAAAAAAAAAAATGGTCTCAGTCTTTTTAAAACCTTGGCGAACTTAAAACAGATTTTTTTGGCTAATTTTGACCTTTTTTTTAAGTCTTTGAATTAACATAGTTATTTTATTTTTCGTTTTTTATAATATCTTTTAATTCATGATTGCAAAAATGTTAAAAAAAATGATATGTTTACATAAAAAAAAAGTAAATTTAATAAATTTTAGACTTAATAAGAATATGTCATGCAAGTATGGTCTCGTATTCGGGAAACTTATATAATTTCCTTTATTTAATAATAATATCATTCCTTTCTTTTTATAAACCCATTGCATAATTTTTTAGATATAAATATAAACCATTTCTGCAGAAAAAACCAAGCTTGATATCACTATTTGTTTAAAATACTAACTTTACACTAAAAGTTATAAGATATCATTGACTAGGCAAATATTTTCTATCTTCCGAGTCGCCATCTAAAAAATTTGATTTACTGCAAAAAATCCATATAGTTATTGCGCAAGTGATAATGATATCTATTTTTGAGCACGAAGTCTACATTAATAAGTTTTTATTGATTACATTTTATCTCAGTTTTTAGAAAAGACTTACTTATCGAAAATAGAAATTGAGATATAATGACTAGTTTTAAGAAAAGAAAATAGAACGCTTATATGACAAAAACTGAATTATTTTCTCATTTTTTATTTTTTGATTTTGCGCCTTTTATATAAAGTCGAAATGTATGAAAAATTCATCGTTCGTTAATAAATTTATTTTGAACTATAAAAAAATGATTGCATATTTTCACCAGGCACAGAGTTCCTGTTGAAATTTCAGCAATCTACCAAGTAAGAAAGTGTTTGAAATTCAGAATGTTGATAAATTTCACTTGGCGATCTAAAATTATGCTTATATGGATCAAGAATAATTGAAACAACCATTTCCATATAAGAACACTAATTAGTTGGAAAGTAGTCGAAATTCAGTTAGAATACACATTCATTTTGGTGATATGATTCAAAAGTGTTCTTCAGTGATTAAAAAACGATAAAAACTTGAGATGTTTTCTAGTATGAGACTTGAGTTATCATTTCCATCTAAAATGTAGGCCCTCTAGCTAATCAGACAGTAGTTGAAATTTCGATTGACTATAAATTTATTGTAGAAATAATATGACTAAATTTTTCTTGTGACAAAGTTACCAGAAAATTATTATTTAATTTGTCATTAGGTTCGGATCTCTAGATCAGGTTTAAACACTTCAGTTTTTCGGAAATTGGATGAAATTTTTACCAGCAATCACTTAACTTAGCGATAATATGGTGATTAATTCTGTTTAAAACAAATAGAATTAATAGAAAATTAGAAAAGAAATTAAAATTACGTAAGACTTGGCTGGGCTCTTATAACGTGAGTACTCTAGTTAATCAGAAAGAGGTCGGAAATTTGACTGGTGATAAGTTTGCTTTGAAATAATTTCATGATAAATTTTACTTATAACGGTCGTGAAATTATTGAAAATAGTACTGAAATTCATCATAGAACTTCAATTTTAATTTGAGTGTTTGAGTGCTCTAGCCAGTCTGAAAGTAAACGGAAAATTTTGATTTACGAAAAATTTTCTTTGACACTATCGCGATAAGTTCTACNTCGATTGACTATAAATTTATTGTCATTAGGTTCGGATCTCTAGATCAGGTTTAAACACTTCAGTTTTTCGGAAATTGGATGAAATTTTTAGCAGCAATCAGTTAACTTTGCGATAATATGATGGTTAATTCTGATTGATTCGGAAAGAAATGAAACTTACATTGTCTGTCGTAAGGCGCGGAGGGGCTCTGATAACGTAAGCACTCTAGATAATCAGAAAGTGATCGGAAATTAGACCGGCGATAAGTTTGCTTTGACAATAATTTCATCCTAAATTTTACTTATAACGGTCGTGAAATTATTGAAAATAGTACTGAAATTCATCATAGAACTTCAATTTTAATTTGAGTGTTTGAGTGCTCTAGCCAGTCTGAAAGTAAACGGAAAATTTTGATTTACGAAAAATTTTCTTTGACACTATCGCGATAAGTTCTACTGGTAAGAAGTGATTGTATATTGTAGTGATGCTGCCAAAAAGTGATTGTGTCCTGCATTGATATTAGACACGGAACTTTAGTACTGTCTTGAGTGCTCTAGCTAGTCGGAAAGTAATATAAATTTTGACTGCAAGATTCTATCAACACAAACATTCATCTATCGAGATTCCATCCCAAAGATATCAAGATTAAACAACGTTAACAAAAAACAATAAAATAAAAAGATTATTTATATTATAATAAAAATATTTATTTAAGTGATAAAAAATATGTTAATAGAAATAAAAAAAAAAACTTTTACCAAATTAGTTTTTGTAAAGTTACCAATAATTCACTTCCTTATATAAAATGGTTTCATTTTAGTTTAACTTTTAACATGACTTAAACAACACATGATACTAAACAAATAAATTAAAAGACCAATAAAAATCACTGTGAAGGCTATAAGTTCCCAACACGGAGGAAGAAATAGAGATTGTTGAGAAACTTGACCAAGTGTGGTTACCATTCCATAATCTTTCTCTTTCACAACCCAGCTGTTTCGGGAAATTTTGAAGTTATTGTCGTAACTCTCTAAGAGTTAGATATCAGGATCTCTAGAACAAATTAGCCGTAGTGGAGAACTTTTTTGATGAAACAAACCCGCATTTGTGTTATGCGAAGAGAAAAACCACGAAAACCTTAGCCCTACGGCAAAGGGGATTCTAGCCCGTATACCACTAAAGATATATTACGTCAGCAGCGTGGTCGGGGAGAGCCAGGGGCAGAATTGATACAACCACCCACCGCTGAGATTCAAACCTGGGTCATCTCATTGAGAGGCAAATGCTCTACCACTCTAATTTATGTCGTTGCCATAATTTTGTAATAATATTTCATTTGTGTATAATCAATTTAAAAAACTACTAAAATTTTTTAGCTTGAATGCTTTTTGGTAAATTTGAAGAAATTGAAAAAACCCGTAAAATTTAAAAGCGTAAATAAAAAAACCTAAAATTAGGTGATCATTAGATTTCAAGAAAAATAATATTGTTACAATATAATCTTTGAAATGTTTTGTAAATGCAATTAGATAAATAAATAATTAGCAATCTTTATTTTTTCTTGATATTGCGAAAAATAATTATGACTTGAAAATGTTTATAAAAAAAAAGTCATACTATCAACTATGAGTGTGCTTTTGCCAATAAAATAAAGAAAAAATTAAATAATAATTGGAATGTCGAAAAAAGCATTTATTTCAAAATTATTGAGGTAAATATACTGTTCTTAAAAAGGGACCGTGAATACTAATAGGTTAGGATTATAAATTTAAAATAGGTTTATAAAAAATTACGATCATTAGTTTTTCTTTTATTTCCAATTAAATCTTTTAAAGCAATTCTTGTCGCCATATGAAACAAACCATATGTTATATGTTATTTTCGTAACTGTTATTTATCACGGCACAGTTTTGTGAAAGAAAAAAAATTTAGTTTTCTAATTTTTTAATATTTTAAAAGTTACTCCAAAGCTGCATTTTATTGCGCTTGCAAAAATATACAAAAAAGGAGAATCACACAATAATTCAATAATTTTTCTTCGAAGTGGAAAAATTTGTTGTTGATTCATTGTGTGTTTCTTAGCTAGGTTATAAATTCATTGTATCTTCTATATTTTAAAATATATATCCCAAGTATATTGCCCTTCATTGTTAAATACTAAAAATAGTTAAAATAAATAAATAACAGTTTCCACAATATTTTTGAACAAGGTATCTTTTGTATAAAATGAAATGCATGAATGACTTCTTAAAAAACAAGACTAGTAATTGAAGAATAATTCCAAGATAATGAATGCCATTATTAAGGGATGAACAAAAGTATTTGGGAGACGGGGGCTGATTTGTAACTTAAGAACCTACCTATACCAAATTAGCCAAAATTTAAATACATTCTGTAACGTTGAAACTTTTTAAGAAATTCACTTCCAGTTAAGCTTGTTTTACAGAAAACCGAAAAGAAAAAGTTTTTCGAATTTCTTTACATAACTAATTACACTACAATATGATTAAGTGTCAGTGTCATTAAAAACGACCTGTATGAAATTATAAATATTCAGAACTTTTTGAAACATACACATTTTAAAAACCGAAAGAAGTTTGTTTTTCCTAAACTTGTTAAATTTCTCCCAAAAAAACTCTCAAATTTTCTCAATAAAACTCCCAAATTTTCTAGTTGTCGTACCAATAATGTTCTACAAAAATGCAATACAGGTATATGCTAACGTTTATGACTCAGCAAATGAATATTCCACTTATATTTAAAAAAGTTATACTAGTAAATTAATAATAGTTTTTAATTATATCTTTAGTTTGTTATCTTGTTAGTATTTAGAATATCATATTTTTAATGTAAATATCAAAAAACTGCATTTGTAATGAATGGTACCTAAACATGCTAGTTTAGACAACGTCTTGCATTACTAAACATAATTTGCCA